TGTTCTAATGGTGTTTGTAAATAGGATCACAAGTCCGCATCTTGTACAGCAATTAACCACTAAGAAGAATATATGCAGTGTAATATTTGTTGAAACTGTACTTCCAATTTGATTTGAAACTGTCTCATTGCTATCTGTTTATCAATAAAACTTGGAAAAAAAAAAAGAGGCTGAGGCAGGAGGATCACTGTGAGTTTGAGGTCAGCCTACACTATATAGTGCATTCAAGGCCAGCATGGACTACATAGTGACACCTTTCTTTGAAGAATACTTTCTTCATATTATTCAACTGTTTGTTTTTCATGATTTCTTCTTTTTCGGTGAGTTCTTCAAATTGAGTCACATGGTTTTAAGTTTTTCTAAAATTCAAACATTTAAAAAAAGAACACCAAACAAACTTAAAATCAATATTCTACCTATAGAGTTAAGCTAATTTTTTTATATTTAAAAAAAAAAACCTTATATGTGCTCATACATAACTTTTGACAAGCTTCATACTTCTCCAGGGAGGAGAAACATGTTGGATTTTAATGATGTCGCACCCAAGGAAACTAACTCAAGACACCCTAAATGTGTATATTCTATGGATATGGCTTTGCATGTTAACATATACATATTTACATTATCACTTAGTCTCCTAAACTATGTAATATTCTGAGTGGGTAATATTAATGAAAGACATTTAATTTCCATTTTTGCTGCTAAAAATAGCCTCCAAGAATCACTTCCTTATTTATGCTCTTAACTTTTTGCTTCCCTTTTCTAGAAACATGGGTCATCATTCAACTCTCACTCTAGTATATCCTAGTTTCCTGTCATCTGTTCCTTATTCTCAGCCCACTAATTTGCTTAAGTCACAACAGCATTAAAAACACTTTGCTTCACCTTGCTTCCTCTTCAGCATAATGTTCCTTTGTCCCTTAATCTTTACTGCAAATGTCTTCAAAAGAGCAACCCACACTTGCTATTTACACTTCCTTACCTCATGTCTACTCCCTGACTTCTTCAGCTTGCTCCTACTAAATGCTCTCTGTCAAATCCAGGACCTTTTCAACCTCATTTGCTCTTATACTGTACATCTAGATGTCCTTCATCCTGCCCCCCTCCAAGCCTCATACTTCAGGGGCAGGGCTTGCAGATGTTGACTGAATTATGGAGGCATTACAGTTAATACGCAGGTCCCTGGAGGTGTGGTCTAGAAAACTTTTTATCTCCTTCCCTTTACTCCTTTCTCTATTTCCTGATTACCATCACGTGAGCAACTCTTCCTCTGCTATGTCCCTGTGTCACATCATTTTCCCTTGAATCTAGCCAATTACAGACTACAACCATGAGCCAAATAAAGTTCACCGCCTGCAAGTTACAGGCGTCACGTATTTGTACTAGCAATAAGGACAGTAACTAAGACAAACCTTACCTTTGCCACAATGACTCTGTCAATGTCTCAACCTATACAACCAGTGGAGTCACCTAGAGGTATTTTCAAAGACACTAATTCCAGCCCCACCCCAATTTCCACCCGTCACCTGTAGGACACTCTATACATATTTAATTTTTGCACAGAGTAAATTAGTCTGGTTTAGGAACCTGACTGAACTACATCACCATCAAAACTCTTCTAGTGGGCCAGGGATATAGCTCAGCAACATAATCACCCACCTGGTGCAAAAAAACTCCACGAATCTAATATTTCCTAGTTCTTTTAAAATCTGAAAGCTTTCTTGCAGCCTCATTCCTAGACCTTCTTCCTGTACTTCCTATGATTATACTTACTCCGATTTTCAAACTTCTCTATTATCCAAAGAAGGGATAAGTTTATTATCATCTAGTGGCAATGGTTTTCATACCTACATCTCTATCTTTTTTGAGCTTTAAACCTATTATTTCCTAATGCCAGGAAAATATTTCTATCCAAACATAAAACAGAAAAGTCAAATCCAAAAAAGGAATAAACATCCAAACAGTTTATCCCCTCCCCTCTGTCAACAAATCTAATTAATCTCACCTCTGAAATGTCTCCTAAGCCTGAATCTTCTACTCTAAACCATATCTACTACCTGATCTAATTAACCTCATTATCTCTCGCCAAAAACGGCTGTTTCCTTCCAGTCACTGGTTTAGGCTTCCTGGATTCATTATCTCAGCTTCATTAAATTCTAGTAATATTACTTTAGGAAGTCACTCAATCTTCTAAGTTAACTCGCTCAATTGACAAGAACAGTGCCTTTTTTCCTCCTGTGCCCATTCCCACAGCCAGCCGAATGGAAATCTGCATGCATGAGTTGGAGTAAAACACAGCAATTACCAGTAACAGTATTTCAACCCAACTGTAGATGAGTGTCCCTATAAAGTTAGGTACTTATAGCAATTAGGCAGACACATTTCTTTTTATTAAACTTACTGAATACATTTTTTAAAAAATTTTTTCAATTTAATGTATTTGGTAAGCATCTCACAATGCAGCTCAGACTCAGTGATCCTCCTGTTTTCAGCCTCCCAACCACTGGGATTACAGGCATATGCTCGTCACGCAGGGGGTGGAGCCGGCACGGCACGTGGTGCCAGGAATCAAACCCTGGTCTCTGTGCTTGCCTAAGCAGGCACTTAGTGCACTGAGCTATCTCACCAGCCCTAAATTATTTAAAAAAAAATTTTGTAATTAAATACATTAACTATACTCTATATTTTCTATGTGGTACAAGACAATTACTCTTCATACAACACTGTTCAAGCAAGACAAAAGCTGGGCATTCATGCAGGTGTATCATACATTTATACATATATATAACAAAATATTATTGATTACCATTCACTGTGCAGGTGCATCATACATTTTTATATATATGCGTGTACATATATATAACAAAATATTACTGATTATCATTCACTGTACCTAATACTTAGCACTATTCCAAAGACTTCACATATTTTCACTTTTTTAATCTATACAGTAGTCCCACAAATGAGGAAATTAAGACACGTAAGAGATGCCATTTTGACCTTTGGTTATGTCATATTTGTATTATTAATTTCTGCCTGGAAAAAAACAAATTCAGGTCTTTCAACACCTGATCCAAATACCACTTGTTTTCAACAGCAAGAATTAACTTTATCCCCTTTTATGCTCCAAACAGTTTGTCCAAAGACTAATATAAAGCCATGCCTCACTTAATGACAGGAATACATTCTAAGAATCAAGTTCACAGATGATAGTATCATTTTGCAAATATCATAGGAGACATGTGGGTTGAGAATGGGGGCCAGTGCCTATAATCCCAGCATTCAAGAAGTGGAGACAAGAGGATCATGAGTTTAAGGCAAGCCTGAGCTACATGGTGAGTCCAAGACCTGTGTAAACTACACTGTGAAACTTAAAACCAGAATATATGTGAACATCAGATGATACACAAACTAAGATGACTATATCAAGAGACAGCATAATCCATGAGGACCACTATTATATCCACACTGTGTCACAGAACAAAACACCATGCAGCAGATATCACACAGTACACAGTAAGACTTTACGATGATCAACTATCGTCCTAAACACACTGAACACAACAGTCTTACTCATTTTTACAACTAGGACAGTGCCTGGCAAGGCATAGGCTCTGTACAAATATTTTGAAATAGCATTAAAAGTTTAAGAAAATGAAATGTAAAAAAATTAGTACTTACAAAGAATCACTAGAACAATTTTAAAACTAAAAACATACAAAATATTGACTGTATTTCATATCATTTCTATTAAAAATACATACCCAATTTTACAGATCCTCCAAAAAGTGAACCTTTATCAAAAGCATCCTTCCAGGTGAATGTCAAGCATATCTAAATAGAATGGGAAAAAACAAAATTATTTTACCATCTTGGAGCTCATTAAATGGTAAGTCTCTTTTAAAGAAAAATCTACAAGGAAAGAAAACAAAAGATGAACCTGTCTAAAATATCTTCTGTAGTTAATCAACTAATTTTCCTTCTGTATCATAAATTTTGTAAAGCAGAATACTGGCACAAGGATACTCCAACTAATCACTGTATCTGTAACCATAAACACTATCCTATTGAAAAATGTACCATGGCTTCAACAGAACAAGCTCTTAATAAATACTTGCCAAGTAAGAGAAAAAAAATAAAATAAAACAAAACACCACAGGTTTGGTAGAAGATAAAACTAAAAACAGCCATTACAAAAGGTGAACAATGGTTTCTTTGAGAAGATGAGAGATTTTATTTTTTACATTAACATATAAGATCTTCACCTCACTTAACTTATGTATTACACCAAACACACACAAAAAATTCTAACTCTGGAGTAGGAAAAACCTCAAACATACACAAAAACAGAAAGATTAGCACAATAAACTCTCACAACCTATCAGCAGCTTTCCTTCTGCTCCTCTTGTTCATAGGCTCCCCAGCTTCCCGCCCCTCACTCCGTCACAGCTCCACATACACATTTTTATGGAACACTATAAAGAAAATCTCAATATAAAATTATTTCACCTATAAAAACTTGTTTAAAAAATGTGTATTTTTCTTACACTATTTTGAAATTCAGAAGTACCACATACTATAAAAACTTTTATTAGAGCAAGGCACAGTGGCACAGACCTATAATTCCAGCATTCTGGAAAACTAAGAGAGAAAAATCACAAGTCCGACCCTAGACTTGGCAAAATCTGTCTCAAAATAATTTTTTAAAAAAGACTGGGTATATAGCTCATTGTCAAAGTTCCATATACTCCAGTACTGGGGGGGAAAAAAAAGCCTCTTAGCAAGTCTCCCAAATATCAAAAAAACTGTACAAAATCGTCTGTATTTTCAACAACTACACTTTAGGAAGAAACACAGTTGAGCTTATAATATTATAACATCAACCAGAACAATATTTGCAAATATATATGTAAATATAACGTGCCAGTAATTTTTTAACCACTAAACCCAGAGTAGTAATTTCTGAGTTATAGTTTCCTTAATTCTAAGAAAGTCACAGAGAAGGACATAACAAGTCATATTAATCAATCTCTAGATCCCCTATTAATGTAAAATAGTTCTATGCTCTGTATGAGCCCCTAAAGACTAGGAAGAATTATATGAATAGAATTCCAGAAGACCCTCCATAGGACATAGGTTTCTATCAGACAAGACCTAAAAATTTCTAATTAATGTAAAACTATCTTTTAAAAGATAAAAGGTAGTAGAAGAACCACTGATCTGAATAAAATGATACCACAGATAGGAAATGAGTAACTCACAATTACTATATGACTTTAAAATTAAACTAATGACTTACCTGATTTTCAGAAAATGGGAATTTGGGTTCAATGGCACAGATTTGATCATAGTATCTAAAAAGTAAATCAGAATCAGTAATTAGCTGAAATAAATATGACACATTCATGTAAATACAACTGGTTTATTATCAGAGTAGCTTAATTGGAACGGCCTACAGAACCAATTTTATCAGTTACTTTAAGGCAAGTGAGCCGTCTGTTAAGGTATAAAGACAGAAGTTAAAATGGGAAAGTAGTTGGGTTTTGGAGGGGGTGTGTGTGTGTATGTGTGTGTGGTATAGGGGACTGAACTCAGGATCTCCCCCGCCCCAACATAAGTTAAAATGTATGCACTAAAAAATAGTGAGTAAAAAAAAAAAAAATTCAGTTATGAGCACAAAGAAAATAATGTATCAATTTTTACTGGCTAAAAGTAAACATGCAATCTGGAAATTACCTATGTCTTAAAATACTTTATTATTAATATTTATATTCATTGGAAATCAGTATCTCTGGTAAACTGCTGATCAAAAAAGATAATCAGCTTTCAAATGTGCTTGAGGTATGTCCACTTCTTTAGGTTTGTCCAGCACTGCCACACAACTCATCAAAGCTGACATAGCTCATCTCTTCCCAGTAAACTGATCCAGGTTTCCTAACCAATCTTCCTGTCTTTCTCCTTTCCAATATATTCTGCACCCAGCAGTCAGAATGTTCGCTAACCATGAAGCAGTCTCCCCCCTCATCAGGGTGATCTTTCAGCCAGTTGACGAGAGGAAGGGGAAGAGCGTAAGGACCAAGCTTTGTAAATGTCCTCTAATCTTTTCTTCTTTTCTATCCTTTCTTACTCTTTCCTAATTCCTAAAATCTTCCCTGGCCTTCCTCAGGCCTCTTTCCAATAGTCATTTCTGGGAGAAAATTTTCAGGGTTAAGTGAGTGGGAATAAGCAAGTAATGTCTGAAACTAAGCTTTTTGCTGGCATAGCCATGTGTTGGGTTACGGAAGAACTGAGCAACTGAATATACACATTAAAAGACAATGAGACATTTCACACTATCAAAGAATTATAAATATGGGAAGAGACAAGGATGTTCGTTTGGGGTTGGACTGGAAGTATCAATGTGAACTCATCTGTTCTTGTAGTAGAGGAAAAAATTTAAATATGTATGTTATTCCTAAATATATATGCTAAGAAAGACTGGAAATGGTCATACTTCACAGTATCCCTAACCATACCTTGTGCCCAGATAAATCATTTCCTGCATCAAAAGAAGCTCTTATACATTATAACCTTACAGAAAAGGTTAACTCTGTGGGTAAGACTGAGAAGATTCAAGACTCAATACAAAATATCCTGCTATACGAAAAAGTGATGAAGTCAGGGCAGATAAGGTGGCACACACCTTCCAACACTCAGAAGGCTGAAACAGAAGGAACATTGTGAATTCAAGGCCAGAAGACTGGATCACATAATGAATTCAAGGTCAGCATGAACTACACAGCAAGATCCTGTCTAAAAAAAAAAAAAAAAAAGCAATGAAGTATTCAAAACTAAGATAAAGCTTCAGATATAGGAGATGATGGCAAGAATTCTACAGGCAAGAGAAACAATGATTAACGAAAGTTAGACCTGTGACTGAAAAGTTAGCGCTGTCTTCATACATTGGATTTTGCTAATCTAAATCAATGCCTGTCACAGTAGATGATAAAGAGGCCAACAATGATTTTCAGAATTCTATGATGCCATTTGTAAGGACTCTTATAAGATTATAACAGCTCAGGCATAGGTGCAAAGAGCAGCAGCAGAACAAACAGGTTGTAAAAGGAAGGCGTGCCTGAATAAAAAGATTCACAGCCTGAAAGGGACAGAAAATGCACTAAAACTCAGAAACCTTAAAAGATTAAGTAAATATTAACAGACCTAGCATAAGGTATGTTATAAATACAGAACTGAAAATTTTGTTTCCCTGTAAACTGTGACCATCTTTTAGAGATCTTTTTTTTTTTTTTTGGTGGAACTAGGGATTGAACTCAGGCCCTTGCGCTTGCCAGGGAAGTGCTTATTCCACTGAGCCATCTCCCCTGCCCCTAGAGATCATTTTAGACAAGATTTTTTTGATGAAAGTGAATCATAGCTCAATAAACTGGTGGCAAAACACACAGAAAGAGATGATTAAGGCCATGTTCCTTAAAAGAAACTAGCTTTATGGACCTCATAATAGAATAAATAAAATAAGTAACACCTACAAACACAATCTGTTGAAAAAATATGAACAGTATTTTGAATAGAGATGAACAGAGAAAAGAAAGTTCCACCCCACTGTACAATGCCAATGAATAAATCTAGAATAATTGGTAGAAAAATTGCTAATTGGCACCTCTGAGAGTAGGAGAATATCTGATTGTTATATGATTCATCAATGGATACTAAAAGTAGCAGGTTTGGTTCTCACAGAGATTTAAAGTATCTATGTACAAAATACACCATACTCACCAACTATAAAGTCAGGAAACCTAGCAAACACTATCTTAAGCAAATGATAACAAATAATATGACCATTAAAGGACACATCAACATCATGTTTTCCAAATATGCACTAAAAAGAATTCAGCATCAATTCACCAGTATACCTATGCAAAAATGTACAAATCAAAAGGAAATATAAAACAAAGCCTTATTGAGGGACATTCTATAAAGTAGCTTATACTTTTCAAAAATGTCAAGGTTACGGAAAAAACTACAAACTGTTCCAGATTACCAAAAGTAAGTTATGTAGGGGGGACACTTCTATTTAGGAAATAAAGTATTAAGCTTTGAAACCCTTTAAATGATTCTCATTATACTTCATTTTGATAAGGTCTTGCATTACCTAGCCCTTATCCAACTCTCTGGCTTTAACTCAGGATATTCATTGTACATTCAAGTCACTAAATTGTATTATCTCTTAGTTTTGGGCCTTCATCCATTTTTCTTCTTTTATATTTGAATCCTTTACTCTTTATTTCTCACTTTTTATTCTGAGCTTGCATTGTTCAAAGAAGACTTTATGCCAGGAATGGCAGAATGTCCCTATCTACAATCCAACACTATGAGGCTGTAAAAGGAAAATCACAAATTGGAGCTTAGCCGGGGCAACTTAGCAAAATCTTGTCTCAAATTTTAAGAAGTTTTGTTTGTTTTTTTTTTAAGGGGTAGGAGGGGAAACTTGGAGATGTTGCCTAGTCCAAAGGTCCTGAATTCAACTGCAGTTACTACAAACCATAGTCCTATGGCAAAGGAAGTTGGCACTATACATTTAAAAATATGTGTTTGTAAAGCTTTTACAAGGAAAGAAATACAGAACAGTACTGGCACTAAGGAGAAAAACAGGTAAGAGTAATAAAGTATGTATACAATGAAGCGAAGAGACTGCCATTTTAAATAAGACGGTTATTTAGCTACATTTTGTTAATTTTAGAACATCATGAATGAAGAAATCCTAAAGGAAATAACTGGAGTGAGCTCGACTGTGGAGGGACAAGTCTAGGGAAAGCCAGTGCCAACATTCTGGAATGAAACTGTGCCTTGGAATGTATGTGAAATTACAGGGAAGCCAACATAGCTATAAAGTGAGTGGGGGAAAGAAAAAAAGAAAAAGAAAAAGAAGTCAAAGAAATAACAACAGGTATGGTAGTACATACCTACAATCCCAGCACACTGGGAGGCTGAGACAGAAAAATCAGAAGTCTGAGCCCAGGCAACTTTGCAAGATTCTCTCTCAAAATTAAAAATTTTAAAAGACCAGGGCTATAGCTCAATGTAAAGGCCCTAGTTTTAATGTCCAGTACTGAAAAAAGGAAAAAAAAAAAAAAAAAACAGGCAGCTATGTAGACCTTATTTACTAACTTCTTCTATCTTGAAATAAGCAAGAAAGTAGGGGGGAGTAACTTGCTTAGCAAATAGTTCAAGAAAAGAACAGTCTATCATGTCTGCATCTTGTACAGCAATTAACCATTAGGAAGAAGGTATGCAATGTGTTAATTATTGAAACTGTCCTACCAATTTGATTTGAAACTGTCTCATTGCTATTTGTTTATCAATAAAATTATGGGAAAAGAAAAAAAGAAAAGAACAGTCTAATGTCCTAAAAATTTTATACTTATTTTCTGCACTCCAAAGCTTTAACATCCTTAGAAAACTTGAGTTGTTGCTGAATTTTTAGTTGTTGAGTTGATTTGCACCACTGCACAACTCAATGTGAGAAAACTATTTAACTTATTTATTATCTTGTGAAAAGTATACATTTGAAATTTTTGTTCATACTGTATTTATCAAGTATGATGAAAAGCAATATATATTCTTTCATTATGCTAAATTATGATTGCCATTATTAATCAGCAAAATGTGGAGTGTATGTTCTTTTCATAGTAATATATGCCTTTTGTAACTTCACTTGGTTATTTTATTGTAAATGAGTAAAAATTTTAATTTAAGAGATTGTATGTAGTATTTATTTCAATTTCTTTCTTTGTTTACGTAAATTGCGAAAGATTTCATGATTTCTTTATAGAAATCTATCTCGATGCTGTGGAAATAGTTTGACAGATATCTGAGTTTTCTTAGAATATATAATGGTTGTAGCCCATCCACTTTTAGGGGAAAAAAAAAGACCACACTGCAATCAGACTTATATGTGGCGTGTTTTGCCAATGCCAACCTTAAAACTGGCAAAAAAAGTTCTGTTTTCTGATTCCACCAGCTCTACTGTGACTAACTCTTGAGTATAAAGACACGCAGCAATAAATACTAGGGGGACAGTCTCACAGTGCCTTCAGAAGGGCCCAAACTTGCCTTAATCTTCCTCAACCAAATAAGTATTTTATTAGTGCTTGAGAGAATTTGAATGTAGGATGGGTTCAACTGCACAAAAAGAAAAGATTTTTTACCACTTTTTTATAGCTATAAAGTGAAGAGGCCACGTCTTAGTGCTGAAATGGTATCTAGTACACGAATATGCCTTGTTTAATTACCAAGAATGCTAAAACTTGTATTATTTTTTTTCCATGTAGAAAGGCAGGAAAGTCTTGAGCTTTCC